GAGAGATCTGTGTCGGATATTAAAAAAATTATCCGATCTGAAGGTGGATGCAAAAAAAAAGATGTTTTGCCACCGCCAGAGTGTGTGGCACCTCTGGAGGTGCTTGGGTTGCCTCGGGGGGTGGGCTGCTGGCGGTTGTGAGTGGGGCCCCTTGGGGATATTGGCGGCGGCCATGGGTCACTGCCTGGCGGCTGCAATACCCCTGGGCGGGTCTGGGTGGGGGCCTGGGGGCTCGGGGTTTGGGGGTGGCCGGCCCCGTGTGGGGATCTGGTCGGGGCCTTGGGGGTCGGGTCCTGGCAGGTATGCTGCCGGGAAGAAGGCAGGAACATGCAGCAGTGCCAGGCCCGGGTTCGGGGGCCTCAGGTAGACATTGGCTCCTCTGCCGTTCCATCACAGGGGAGGGGGAGGTCCAGGAGGGGGAGGACCCAACCTTACCTGGATGTCCCATGTATTATATATTCTGGAAGTTGTGCAAATGCAGGGATGGGCATAGATATTCTGCTGGGGTGGGGCTGGGTTGGTGCCCTCGGACTCCGTGGGGCTCTGTAATGCTTTGGGCCCTGGCAGGATGGGCTGGGGTCTCCATGCCCTGGGTGGCGGTTTGACAACAGAGATGCCTATTGGGGCCAGTAGGGGAGCTGGCTCCCTGGAGGGCTAAACCTAACCAGCCATTCCTCCCCATCCCCGCATATTTCTCTCCTCCTGCACCCTCACATCATCACACAAACATACACATAGGACCTTGGGGGGTGGGCAAGTCAGGGAGTGCGGGTATGGACCCCATTTCCGCATTCCTGTGGCAACCTGCCCCCCAATTTTGTTTGCACCTTATACACTTCCACTGACAACATTCCACACAAACACACACTTAGGGCCTTGGGAGTGAGCACAATCAATGGCATTTGGCAGGGGGATATTTCAGCCTCCTCCCGAGTGCCGGTGCCCACTTCCAATTTTAAACCGCACTTACACACTGACGGCTGGGGGTGTAAGTGGGGTGGTGCGGTGACATCAGCTGGTATAGGTCGGATGATGCCCGCACTGCCCACTCACCACAGCCATGGAATACACCTCATGATCACACAACACTATATTGGAGCAAGTGGAAGGAGACTAGGGGTCTTAGCCACCTCTGTTGTCACTGGGCTTCCTGGGGCTGGAGGCTAGGAGGGAGATCTGGCCGTCTGGTTGGGGTCTGGGGTGGTGGGTTGCTGTGCTCAGCGTTGAGCGGGGGAGCCTGCTCATCAGCACCCCAGCAGAAAGGGTCAAACTCTGGTTGCCGGTGATGGTTGTACCCAATGTGCAGCAGTACCGGGACCAGAGTGAATAGGGTGTGTATGGGGAGCATGAGTGGGTGTCCGGCGTGCATTTTTGTAAGTCTTGGGTTGTATGTGCATGTGTGAGCATGAGGGAGGGAGTGTGTGACTGTGTTTGTGTATAACTGTATATGTCAGGTGGGGCCTTTGACTCCTCCCCTCTCCTGGGACTTCTCTTGATGATATAGATCTTTGTCCCCCCTCCCCCTGCCACACCTGGTGTGAGGGGTTGTGCCATGGTCTGCCTGAGTGTTCATGCCAACCGGGTCTGAGGGTTTAAGATTTTGGCATCTGCCTGATAGATCCCGGTGGCTGCCTGGTGGGGTCTGGGTCCCTGGGCTCTGCTGGGTCCCCGGCGGGGGTGGTCGCCCCTGGGTCCCGGGTCGCTGGGTCCTGGGCTCGGCCGGCTAGGGGGTGGGAGGCTGCGGGCGGGCCTGTGGGCTTGCCGCTGATGTCTCCCGGGACTCTGCCGGCTGCTGGTTGTGGCCCCCCGGGGCGATCCTCTGTGCCTCTCGAGGGGGGCGGGGGCCTTCCTGGTTGCAGTCTCCTTGGGGTTCCTGTGTTCTGGGGCAGCGCCTGGATCTCTGGGACTTGGAGCTCCCCCCGTCTCCTGCGCATCTTTGGGGGGCTGATCTGTGGTCCCTCACACTCTCTGTTGGACGCTCCTATAGAGAAACCTTAAATAAACAAGCGCGTGTTCACACACAGGTGCTCACACACAGGTGCTCACATGGTGCTCTCAGAAGTATGGGCTTGGGCATGTTAAACACAGGTCTTAAGACTATGGTGGGCACTTAATGCACTGTGATTTATTATCGTGATTCTTCAGTTAAGCAATATTGATTATATTTTTTTTTTCATCAAGTTGACGCAGTGATAGCTAGATCTTGTTGTATTGTTGTTGTGTCCCTTTTTTTTGTCCTTTTTTTTGTCTTTTTCTGCAGGTCTAGAAGCAGACTCTTGTTCATTGTTTATTTTTGTGGAACCCCCCCCCCCCTCTCTCTCTCTCTCCACCTTTTCTTTTCCTTTCTCTTTCACCTCTGTCTCCGTGTCTGGTCGGAATTACAAAGCATTCAAAAACAATAACAATAAAGTTTTAAGTATCAGGCGTGACATTAAAAGCAAACGCTTTGATGCTCCACCTGAGAATAAATCTGTAAGGCTTGTTACCAGCATTCAGACATCAATTCTGCTTGCTTCACAGCCAGACAGGACACGGTAAAAAAAAAAAGAAATTTAGGTACTTGTGGAGACATGAAAAGGAAGTGCTTTTGCAAAACTAACAAGAGAAAATCCACAGAGTGGCACAGCGTTGCTGAAGCTGTCAATGCTGTGAGTTCTTCGGAGAGATCTGTGTCGGATATTAAAAAATTATCCGATCTGAAGGTGGATGCAAAAAGAAAAGATGTTTTGCCACCGCCAGAGTGTGTGGCACCTCTGATCCCCCACTGCTCGCCGTTAGGAACCCAGCAGTACTCGGACCGGCAAGAGTGCGTGGAGAAGGAGGGAGACACTGACCATGATGCAGAGGAGACTGGTAATGTTTAAGCCTTTCATTAATACAGATCAAATGTGTCCGTCCTAAAAATCTAAAACAAAAACAAAATCTTGTTTCCCCTCAGCGACTCTGGACAAAGCATCCAACGAGGCATCCTGGGCGGTGACCGAAGATGTGGCTGCATGGTCGGCCTGTCTCACCAGTGTGCCTCAGGCGCATGGCGCACCTGGAAGTGGCCAGATGCTAACTGACGCTGTCCTGCAGGCACATAGGGACATGATTAGTGTGGTGATCGAAGCGCGAGAACTGCACAGAATATGTAATGTCCTGACTGACATTTCAGGAACACTTAAAGAATTGGCAAGAAAATAAAAGATGAAAATCATGCTTCTGTGTTGGTTCTATAAATTACGTGTGGCAAGGTGGAGAGGCGAGGGCCCAGGTGAGATCCAATCCCCAGACTCCCGGGTGAGAGTCACACGTGCTAACCATAGACTGTACATAATGGACAAACGGATTCCATAGACTCCAATAACACGTTTTTTGTCCATAATGGGAGGTGGCCACCACCGCCATTTTGACCGTGTCACAGGTTCCGTCCAGCCCAGACAATTCCATAAAAGGGAAGAGAGGAGGCGCTGAGGGTGGGGCTGTAAGGCTGGGATCGAGTGACGAACTAGCTACGAGCTAACCTGAAGCTAACCCTGGCTAACCCAAAGCTAAAGCGGAGGTGGGAGCCGAGCTAATGGATGTAGCCACCTAGCTTCAATTCAACCGGAGCTAACTGGAACACCCTACGACCTGACCCTCACACGGAGTTTAGGTGGAGGTTTTCTGCGCCTGTTCGTGAGAAGTACCTGTATTTAAAAAGTTTTAAATCGGTAAGTTTATAATTTATTTCCGTAATGAAAACATTTTACTTTGAGCAAGTTTTCAGTAGTTTTTTTCGGTGCTATCACTCCTGAGTCGCACCAGCCATTAAATGTATCATGAAGAAGAGAAAATATATTTAAGTCGTATTTTGGGGGGACATTTTATTATCTTTCTTACAAAATCTGAGACCAAGCGTTTCACATTGCAACACAAGCACCGGTAACCATAACAGAATGAACAACAGCCAGCAGAGGAGAGGATGGCGGTGTTTCAAACCCTCCCGGCCGGCGTGGAGAGCTCATTCCTGGGCTGGAGCCGGACCTCAGCACCCCGCCACAGGCTCTAACAGATGCTGGCGGTATTTCATATATTTCCAAAACGTAATACTTGTTTGTATCTTGTACAGCCAACTAGCCTTTATTCTGGACTCAGTACAATTTACCAAAAGTACAGATGGTACTACAGATGAAGTAAGCACAAGATAGCTTACTGGAAGACACGGAATTATCATCAGAACCAGAACAAGAGAGCCTGATAACAGTCATGTGAAAATAAGTTAAAAAGTATGTATGTATAATAGAAATAAAAATATATTAGAATTAGTGTAACTCACTGTGATCCAAACAATAAATCAGCCATAGCTGATTAGTAAATATGACATGAGGTCTGGGAGTTTTTAAGTTTCATTCTTTTATTACATTTTTTTCTTAGATCTGTTAAAAGGTCACCATGGCAGCCTGTGTGTCTCCAACATCAGCTACACAACGCAGCAAGTGTAAGTTCCTGTCTTGACCACTTCATGTATGGTTTTGTACTTTAAACAATTATGACAAACCTGTTATTTTTTCTCCATAGCCATTTGGATAATTGGAGACAGCTACGTGAGGCGTGGTGCCCAGAGAGCTGCAGAGACCGTCGGACACAACCTTGGCCTCCCTGACGTCTGTGTCTCCTGGTTTGGTTGGGGCGGACCATCGACATACATACATGTGCCGACACTTTGCGCCCTGTTTTATAAAATGTAGTGTTAAAAATAAATGTTTTTGCTCAATTACTGGAATTTCTTTGGTTAAGACAAAAGTGAGGAATAATCATTTACAAGTTATTTGTACAACAGGCCCATTTTAAATCCCAACAGTTTCTTAGCAGACAATAGAAATGGGTTCTTTACTAACTTTACTTGGTTTGAAAATCTTACTAAAATAAACTTGAGTGCCATATTGCAAAACCCAATCATACTTGTTATGTAAACATTAGCTTTGTAGATATTTTTTACAGATATATATTTGTGTGCAACAAAAACCAAACTTAAATAATTTGTCATTCTTTATTGAAAAACAACAAAATACAGGTATACAGAAGTGTGGGAAAATGATAATGTGAAAGTATTGCACTATAAATGAAGTGAGATGAGATGAAGGTGGACGCCAGCGGGCTGGACGCCGGACGAGGAAACCTGGAGACGGATCACTCAGACAGGAAGGGAAGAGCTTCCTCTTACCTTGATGGAATTAAAGTTAGCCGTCGTCTGAACGCCCAACCGTACGGTCTGAGGTCAAAGGTCGCAGGAAACACACACCAGTCAGCAGTCATACAGATGCATAAAGATAATTGTAGCCATGGCAACCAGCTGACATGTCCCCACTTTCACCAGCACCTGATGCCTGCCGGGTCACCTGAATTCCTGTGTGATGTCAGCACGGTCGGCCGTGACTGCGGCCATCAGAGGTGACCTCTGATCAGCTGAATGAACTCACCTTCCAGGGTGACGCCGTGTTAGAGTCGGCTTCATCCTGTAAACAAACAAACAAATGAGTGGTAACAAAAACACCACGTCTGGTTCTGGTGGAGGCGGAGGACAACATGCACCTTTCCAGGAGCAGAACCCAGATGTTCTTGTTGCTACAAACAGAGACGAGCAGAGTTAAACCAGGAAGTGAGAGGGACCAGCTGCTGCAGACAGGTGACGCTCACCTGAGCCTGAACCATAGGAGCCTCCTCAGCCATCAGACCTTCTGACTCCAGTTCAGATGCCACCTTGTTGATGTCCCTCAGGCGGGACTCGTTGGCCTTCAGGTCCTGCAGGACAAAAGCACCTGCTGATTACCTTGTTGCTGTCGGGTTAACAGGTCTGGTGTTAGAACGTGGTGGATAAGAATGTTCTGACGGGCCGAGGGTTCTGAACTCACCCTGCAGGACTGGGCCTGCTCCTTCAGGGCCTGGATGCTGCTGCCGTAAGCCGACAGGTCCGACATCAGGGCCTCGTGCTTCTTCAGGAGAGCCCGTGGAGCAGAACATCAGAACCTTCAGCTCGTCTGACACAAGTGGAGCTTTCTCGCAGCGATGGTCCAATCGGATCCGCTACCGTAAAACAAACCCTGCTCAGTTCACCGCAGACGCAGCTCTGCGGGTGTTTAGTGGAAAAAGCGTGAGCCTTCTGCCGGCTGCCACGTGTCATGGCTGCTCTGCAGCGGGAACACACATCACAGCTTGTAAACCGTTTGAAATAAGAGCGACGGGAACACGTTTGTCATCACTTCCTGTGCGAGGCCAGCACTTCTACCCCTAACCCATGAGACGCTCAAACGAGCAACGACGTCTGGTAGACAACCGAAGGAAATGACAAATACAGAAACACTAATTATGAAGGACTGGAAAGAGAGCAAAGAAAAGCGATTGGAGTTTCTCAGGAAGGGACTTCCATACCTCGGCCAAGTCCTCGTCTTTCCCTTAGTCTGGACTTCCAACGATGGGCTCCTTCTCCCTCATCCAGGACTCGGCCTCATTAGCATTCGCAAAGTACTGCTGGGCCTGCAGAGAGTCCTCCAGGTCCTGCCTCCTCTTGGACGCCTTGGCCTTCAGCGTGTCCCAACGTCCATGAAGCTCCCACAGTTTAGTCTTCACTTCCTCACCAGCGAAGTGACCTGGACCCAAAAAAAGTGAGCCAGAACCTGCAGACACCTCAGAAACATGTCAGGACCAGACCTGCTTTACCTTCCTCCACCATGGTCTCTCCTTTCTGGGTGACAGCCTTGATGCGAGGTTCATGACCTGTGATCTCAGCCTGCAGAGCCTGGTGCTTCTTCAGCAGGTTCTGGACACCAATCAGGTCCTTCCCTGAGGACACATGTTAGAGTTCAGCATTATGCAGTAGACAGACCAGTTTAACCCAGGGGTTTCTTTCTTCTACAATCTGCTCTTTAACTGTATTATTTCCTGCTATTTCAGCTGTTAACTTTATTTTCTCTCTAAGTGTTTTTCTCCCCAGAAGAAGCTACAATGACGTTCTGCTGAGCTGTGGTGGCCTCATGGAGGGGGCCATCGGCTAGCACACTGCTGCTAACCACTTAAACATTCTCCCTCTCCTGATAATAACATTTTACTTTCTTTGATGTTGGATGTGGTGCTACTAGTTTACCCGTTTAATTATAGATTCACTAGGATAAATACAATAAAGTTTATCTCTCACCAAATAGAATATTTACTGTGGCGAGCTCGTGAAGAGGTGTAGGAGAATGCGACAAATTTGTCTGTTAAAAAGTCTGTTATGTACAAAAAACACAATATCATCACACTATTTTGGACCGATACATGATGGCTAATGTGGGAGTCCATCCGCATCTCTGGGTCCAAAACCACCCCCAGGTTAGTGATGGTTGGCTTCACTAAGCTGCAAAAACAGGGTTGCAGGACAGGACTAACTGCAGTGGGAGAGGGAGGAACAAATATTCCAGTTATAAATATTAAATATTTGAACAAATAAATATTTGTTAAAAGGCAGAAACTGATGATGACTTTAAGATTAGAGGAATGTTCTAGAACGGGTCTGGAACCAACGATGGCCCTTTGGATCAAATTTGGATTAGAAAAATAGCTCATGATTTTATTTATGGATGGAATAAAAATACAGGTTTTAAGCATCTTCTCAGTATCTTCATGTTGCACGACTTTCCACAGCAGAAGGACACAAAAACTGCCAGAATTATGATTAGAAAGATTTACATTTTAATCTCAGAATCCCAACTTTTCCCAGAATCTTCACATTATTCTATGAATTCAGAGAAAATATACATTTTTCAGAGGTCTCGCTCCCCTGTTGTGGATATTTCTCAAAATTCAACCATTTTTTCTTTTCAAAAGCTTTAGTAAGAGTTTGGACTCTAAACAAGTTTTACTTTGCAGACTACTTGTCTACACCTTCATCAGATCTGCTCATAATAAAACATTTGGGTTATATTTAATGTCTAGAGAAGATGCTCTTCCTGGGCATTACGTTATCAAACACAGATAAAGTTTTTTTTTTTACCTTAATTTTAACTGCTATCAGCTGATAAAAATAATAAAAAACAGCCTGATCATTAAAGGGGTGTAAGTGAAACTGCGTGGATCACACAAACCATCATGCTGTCTATATGACTTTGAAAATATATAGTTTAATTACAGTTTGATTTATTTTACATCTGCATAATGTTTATTATTTTGTTTTTTCCCCCTAAATGCCTAACGTTTTAGTTTTACATGAATATTAGTCATTCATCCCAATACATAAAGTTACACATTTTAAATTTTAATAGGGGAAGACTGCAGGAGGGAGCGGTAAAATACAGAAATCCCCAGCAAAAACAAGAAACTTTACGAGTTTGATGAAACCCGCTGGTGTTCCTTCAGCAGGCCTGGTGGCAGCTACAACGACCCAGTGGCTGTGCTTGGTCAATGCTATCGAGCTCAGTCCGGCTCGGCCGTGAACGAGCCGAGGCGACATCCTGCTCTGCTTAAGAAGAAGTGTTATTTTCCGCTTCAGAAGAAGCGTCCGTGTTTTACGCTTTCTCAGAGACATGTCACGTTGCTAAGTTGTTAGCGCCGCGCGCTAACACGTCAATAGTGCAGCATAGCCTGCTGGAGGTTTTAAGGGTTCAGATGAAAACACCCTACCACTCAGGCTGCTTACACATCGATATTAAGTTGTCGCTGTTGCGCTCACGCCGTAATACAGTATTAGATGCGGTTAAAGTCAGACATGAAAAACTCCACGAGCGGTCAGACCGCGCAGCAGCTAGGCGCAGCAAGTAGGCGCCGGATCGGTCAGGCTGCCCGGCCTGACCGCTGGGGATTACCAGATGGAAGAATGGACACAGAAGTCTCCCTCTTAGCGCTCCGTCATATTTCAACCCATTTTTATCTTAAATGCACTGGGTTTTACCCTATTACCCATCTAAATATGCCCTATTAATTATTTTACCGTATTTTACATTTAAATTTCATGGTTAAACAGTACATGCTACATGTTAAACTGATAGTTAGCTAGCTACTTTGGTAAACTCAGCTAGTTTAAAGGCAGCAGTGACATATAATACGAATATAGATTTTAACTTACCGAAAAAAATTAAGTGGAGACTCCTTGGACGCTCTATTAGTGCAATTAATACCACTGCAAGTCATTTTGTCCAACAATTGCACCAATAATATCCAAAACAGAATTCACAAGCACAGAGACTCAAAATCCCGAAACAGCTTCCAGGAGGGGCCGAGGCTGTACTGAGGCCTTTCCACGGAGCTAGCTCTGTGGTCACGTGGGTCTGATGCTCATTAATTATACAGAATTTTAGGCTTTCAATACACTTAAACAGAAAAGTGAGAAAAAAATTCACCCCCCTCAGAGTTGTCATGAGTATAAACTAGATAATTTGGACAAAAAACATGTTTTGGTACCAGGCTGTAAACATGTTTATTTCTGCTGTGAAATCGGCATTTTTAACATGGGAGTCAATGAGGATTTGCTCGCTTCTGACACCAGCCCCCAGCGGATGAGGGTGGAACTGCAATTTTTCTTACTTCCGGGTTGGGACCATTTTTAGAGAGGCATTGTGGGGGCTTGGTGCTAACCAGTCAGCCAAAGGGACATCCCCTTTGGCCGACAGCCAGGGCGCATAATCAATCAGGATACAGTGACAGGACGCTCACACTGTCACAGAAGCATGACATTCCGTCTTGTTTCGTGTGAAAACAAAGCGGTACAAGTGATAATGCTGCAGGATTTCATAATTGTATCCTTCTCAGCAGCAGCACTGCAGGTGCTCTCCATGTCCAACATGTGCGTAAGCCAGGTTCTTAGTCAACTTAAAGTTGCGCACATTTTTCCGCTAAGTTTTCTTTCATAACTCCCAAAGTTTGTGTGGAAAGTTGCTTATGCAGTTTTCCGATCCCGTTTTGTGAGTAAGCAAGCTTGATAAATGAGACCCCTGGTCCAATGAAAAACCATTTTATTTTTTAAATATGGTTGGTCACTCTTAGTTTACTATACGTGAAAGTAGTCTTTACCCCATTTTCTGCATTAACCGCATAAAGAAAAAAGTCTGGGAAATGCTCAGATTAACCCTCCCACTGTCCAATGGGTGTGACCCCGTGAGGAAAGTTGACCATTGCGCAGGGTTGATAGTTTATCCCTTGGTTCCATGTGGCAGGGGTGAGGAGTGAGCACCACCTCACCCCTGCCACGTGGACCTCAAGGGATAAACCATCAATCCTGCTCAATGGTCAACTTACCTTGCGGGGTCACCCATAAAGACAGTGGGAGGGTTAAAAAAGCCTGACAGATCTACATCACACTGTCACAACATTCATGGACTCACCCGACTTGGCTTACGGTTAGCCTACTTGGCTTGGACTGAGGTGGGAATGCTATTGCTGATTTCGTGTTCAGGAAAGAGCAGAGCGTGTTATTGCTAGTAGAAGCTAACCGTTAGCATCGGCTCTTGAGTCAAAGACAAGCCCAAGTCAAAATAGTCCAAAGTTGATGCCAAAGCCATTTCAAATGAGCTGTCGACATATTTGTCTCCGTAACATCCCGCCCACCAACAGAGAGCTGCGATTGGCCCACCAAACCAATGGAGCACTGTGATTGGACTGCTACAGAGCCTTGGACTGGAGGCGTCGACCCTTGGACTGGAGGCGTCAAACTGGGCGGAGCCTCTTGGGACAGGCTGGAAATGAGCCTCTTGGACTGGCTGGACCTCGTAGACGGGCTGGACCGGAACCTCGTGGACGGGCTGGACCACCACTGGAACTGGACACGGTTCAACCTCCGGGACTACCGCTGGAACTGGATACGGTGAAGGCAGGTGGAGCTCAAGCTCGGGCTGCAGAGCAGGGGCCTCTTGGCAGGCGGCACAACTCTGGCTGTAGATGACGGTGGGTGATGGCGGTGACGTCTGCGACGAGCACGACTCCTCGGAGGTGCGGGGGTGACGTCGGCAGGTACAGAGGATGAGTTACAGCCCACCGGAGAGGAAGTGGTGGTGCTGTCAGGACCAGGTGAGGGTGTGGCGGTTTGGCCCATCAGAGATGCTGAGACTGCACCAACATGCACAGGGGAGAATGAGATGACTCCGGTTCTGACTGTCAGAGACGGGGAGGTGGCGCTGTCAGGACCAGGTGAAGATGTGGAAGTGTGGCGCTTTGAAGATGCTGAGAGGGCGGCTCTTACAACGGCACTTGCTGACAGATAGTGATCCATCGAAAAAAACTGGTAGTACCGTCTGGACCGGAGGAAGGTGGGGAGATGAGTGAGGGGGGAGCTTGTGGGCTGCAGCAGGTGTCCAGCAGATCCTCTGCAAAACCCCAAAATTCCAGCTCCTCTAAAGGATATTGCTCGAGGTAGTGTGTGGCCCATTGCAGGGCTCTTCCCCTTAGGCGGAGCACCATATTAATAATCAAGTCTGTGTCCAAACAGTCCGAGCCATAAAATCTCACCAAGTCCAAGATGAAAGTCCGACAGGAATCCGGGACACCATAAAAATTGTACATCCGCTGGCGCTTCGAAGTACCTGGAGGTTCTGCTGGGTCCTGGGTTGGTCGGTCCATTCTGTCACGATTTGAGGATGGTTAGGACCCAAAATGCAGATACCCAGGATGACACGAGGCAGGAGTTGAATATAAAGAAAAAAATCCTTTTATTTGTAGGATGTACCAAAACAAAATAAGTCCTAAGGGGCAGGAAGCCAAAAGCCAAAAACTCCAGATAATGATCTGGAGATCCAAAAACACTAAATACTCAAGAAGTACCAAAAACACTAGAAATCCAAAAAGCGAGATGAGACTGACAGAATAACATCACCATGGACCGACACAACACTGAGAGAAGGACTGGGTTTTATACACTGGGGCTGGAGTGATAGGAGACGAGGAGCAGGTGTGTGGGGAACTGGCACAGGTAAAACCAATAATTAGAGGAGGAGCAGGGAAGGACACCAGACCTGACTGGGGAAGGACACAGACACACACACACACACACACACATACACATACACACACACGCACGCACACACACACACAACTGAAATAAAAGACCTATATAAACTGAGGTGGGATAGACTAAGAGACATGAAGAAAACCAGGAGGGAGCTGGGGACAGAAAGGCTGAAGCTACAAGGACACAGAACGTGAAGGAACACCTGGAGGGGCTGGGGATGACTGAATGAAAACAGGACCTGGGAGGAATGATCTAAAGGGCTACAAACAGAAGACACATGAAGAACACAAAGAGACACATAAATGAGACACAGACAAAGGACACAAAAGGGGAATCTAGAGAGGGGTGGAGAACACGAGGAGACACATGAGGGAAGACACAGACGCAGACCATGACACGGTGCTGCACAAGTATTGAACACATACTGATTATTTCATTGGTGTTATTGTGTAACAGGATAATACCAGTACAGCTTAAAGTGAGGAGTTATACACTCTTACTGCAGAGGGGATGAATGACCTACGGTAGCGTTCTGTTTTGTGTAAGGACTACATAAAACATAAAAAAAAAACATTAAATAATACATAGTTTTTCCAAATATGCGTGATTGACCAGCAACAATACTGGCCAGAGCAGCAAGGTACCAATGAAGTGTTGCTAGACCATCAATTTTGCTTTGGCTAATGACGGTCTAGACTGTAGGCTAGTGAGATGTCCCAACACCAGGACAACACAGAGATCGACTCGCAAATGTACTGAAAAAAAAGTGAATTTGGTCTTTAAACATTTTGGCGGGAAAGTCTTTGAGAAACAAATAAAGTGATGAAACCAACAATTTTATGATTAAACATCTCTAAAAAAAATTACATAATAGTTGCATTTAGTCGTTGTTACTGGAATCTAAGTTGCTTAATAAACAAGACAAACAAATCCTCTGTGACTCACTTGACTGATTAGATTTTTTACGTGATTGTTTCAAACACGGATTTTCTGTTTCTGTTTTTCTGTCCCTTCCTTCAGGGCAGGAAGGGACCTGGGCGCTCAGGGAGTCGCTCCAGCAGCGTTTCTAAGGTATCCCTAACTCCCAAATAAGAGAATTTTAAGGGTCAAATGTAAAGTCATGAAGTACGATTGGATTTTCTCTTGCTGAATCTTTTTTACAATGATTTAAGAGTACACACAGCAAGTTTTTACACAGTAAATAAGTAAAGGAAAGCTTTTCCTTATTTAACACCGAATTGAAACGCGTTGTGGAACATGAACAATTCATTTATACTATAAAGTTTATGAAATATTCTTTAACTATAAACTCACAAACTAAAAAAATGACTTTGCTGAGTTGTTTTTATTTGCAACCAGAAGATAAACCGTGTATTAGTATAACCACTCTAGTCCTTCTTTAAATTGCTGTGTGCTTTCTGTGTTTTATGTGGTTTTTGAAAAGCAAGAAATTAGTTAAATGAAAGATTTTGATTGTTTCAGGCTAGCAACTCTACAGCTGGAGTCACCACGGCCTCAAGGACATCGATAACAGCATCTCCTCAGGACATATGCAGGTAAGACAGCTGCTCTCAGTTCAGACGTCACTATTATTTGATAGGAAACCTTAGTGGTTAATGTATCCATGAGCACCAGGGAATGTCTCTGCCGTTTTAATATTTGTTTAAAGTTTAAAAATCACAAGAGTTTTTCATGCGGGCTAAATGTAAAAGTAGCCTTCTACCCCGATTTCCTACATTAACCACCAAAAAAAAAAACAGATGGGGAAACACTTGGGTCAGAAAAGCCTCACAGATCTTTGTCACATTGTAAAACTAGCATACATGGACTCACCCATGTTGGCTTGTGCCCGAGGAAGGCCGTTGTTGGCCTGGCATCCAGGAGAGAGCAGAGCACGTCTCGGCTTGTAAAAGCTAACCATTAGCATTAGCAACGCCACAACATGGCAAAACTCCTTCAGGCTTGTGTCGTTTGTGGAAATAAAACATCGACGTTGCATTTTAAACCCAAGAAAGAAGAACAAACGAAGGCAGCGGAAGAGTTGTACTGGGCAATCAGAGGCAAGATATTTGAGTATAATAATACTAATGAGTAGGTCTCCAAATCCTGCGATTTTCCACCTGATACTCCTCCAGCTAATTTTCACTTCCTGAAACAGGAGCACCAGAGCTTTTTACCCCACAGAAGTCAACTCACAAGACTTTAATTTATACAGCAGATTTTATTAAAACAACAAGTGAACGACTCCATCAAAGCAGCTGATTGTATAACCATCACATCCACAGCTGCAATGGTTAAAAGTCTTAGCATGTGCATGTTTGAACCTCACCTCATTTCATGCCATAGTTACCGATTACACGCTTCAATACTGCAGGCTGCATTTACTTTCATCAAGTGCATTCAATGTTTCATTTATTTGTTATTACATGCATGCCTTTTTCATCTTATTTAAGCTATTTGTTCATCTTCATTTGTGTGTGTGTGTGTGTGTGTGTGTGTGTGTGTGTGTGTGTGTGTGTGTGTGTGTGTGTGTGTGTGTGTGTGTGTGTGTGTGTGTGTGTGTGTGTGTGTGTGTGTGTGTGTGTGTGTGTGTGTGTGTGCGTGCGTGCTCAGTTGTAGCCCGCTGACCCATTTAGAGGAGGATGTTTCTGACTCACACAAACGCAACAAACACACACCCAGTTCCTCTACCATGACCGTCAGCGGCTCAGCTGTGAGTTCCTCGGCTCAGGCTCAGAAGAAGCGACCGAAGAGACACCACCGCCATAAGAGAAGCAGCTGCAACACCTTTGACTGTGTGGAATCCAATGGCAAACCGGAGAACAGTGACCAGAGTCCCAGCTCTGATCGAAGTGAGCAAGCAGAGAAGAGGGAGCGCTCCCACAGGAACCGTAGGGAACTCCCACCACGCCTCCGGTGCTCAGGTACCCAGCAGTCCGACTCCTCCTCTGAGGATGAGGCGTGGCGGGAGGCCCGCAGCTGGAGCAAAGAGAAAGCACGAAGGGCACGGCATCGCAGCCTAAACAGCCAAGAGAGGGATGCAACAAATGGGCAAAATGGAGGAAAAGAGAAAGCAGAGATGATGGAGCTGCAGTCCATAGATTCAGCTGTGGGGAAAGAGAATCAGCCTCTGGTGGAGGACAGCGGTGGCCTCAAAAAGCGCCACAGCACCAGGAGCTCTAAGAAGAGGGACAGCCGTGTTTCACAGAGGGAGAGATCGCAGAGCAGAGAAGCGGAGAAGATTAGCTCCAAGTTACAGAACCAGAGAGGCAGCTCCTTAATGGCAGAGGATGGCGAGGAGCTCATCACCAAGAAATACCAGGAGCGCGGTTCAGGAGATGGAGACATGTCTGTGCCGACACCACAGAAACACTGTGGTGTGAACGGGGGCACACCAAGACTCAGTTGTGATGACTCTGAGCTGGAGGTCTGCAGGTCAGTGTGTGACGGAAACAAACACAGCACTAAAGAGATTCCACATCATTTCCTTCCCTTTTTCCACGTTGTAATTTCCTGTTTGTTTGCAGGATCTGTCACTGCGAGGGGGATGATGAGTGTCCACTGATCACACCGTGCCACTGCACTGGAAGCCTGAGCTTCGTCCACCAGGCCTGTCTCAACCAGTGGATCAAATCCTCAGACACTCGCTGCTGTGAGCTCTGCAAATTTGACTTCATCATGGAAACGAAGCTCAAGCCTCTTAGCAAGGTATGGAGCCGACCTGTTTGGTGGACAGTTTTAAGTGCAACCAGAATCACGCACTTCCTTTCTACCTTCTTGTCCTGTTGCTGTCTCAATCCACCTGCCGTCCAGTGGGAGAAGCTACACATGCCAAAGAGCGAGAGGAGGAAGATCTTCTGCTCCGTGTTGTTCCACCTGATAGCAATAGTGTGTATGCTGTGGTCCGTCTTCATTCTGGCCAAGAGAACCACAGAAGAGATCAGACTCGGGAAGAACGGTCAGTACTTTTCTACTTCTCTTACTCACACGCACCAGAGACACGCAGAGCGAAATGTTAAACCTGTCACTGGTTTTCTTGATTTTCACAAAAATAAAACCACCATAAAAGTCCGAGTAACACGTTCACCTGCTGACCTCATCGCACCTGCCTGACTCTTGCTGTGTGACTTTGAACATGAGTGTCTGTCATAATCGCTCCTTTTTTCTGTTTTCTCAGTATCTTGTGGTAAGTGTCAGTATACAGAAGCAGTCAGAAGTTTTACCTGCTCAATGACATGAATGAAATTGATGATTGGTGGAAAAAAAAAGTCCAAGAACCTTTGATTGGTACTGTGAAATTACCATTGTGGTAATCCCGATGTTTCCCTCCCAGACCTGCACTAAACAGAGGACTTCACTTTCAAACAATGCGTTTATTGAAGATTCAGTGAGTCTGGAAGTGCATCTGTAGCCACCAAAGAAATAGTTGTCATTTTTATTAGTTCAACACAATCAAGAACTTGAATTACGCCCAATACCAAACGTTAAAACAATGAAAATAAAGCATCTGCAATATAGAAATTATTTAAATACCTAATTGGTTTTCACAAAGTCAAAGAAAATCTTTGATCGCAGTTTTTGCTGCAATTTTAAATCTCATCAAAAGAGTGTCGAGGATTCTTTGATGAAATTTCAAGGATGCTTCTGTGGGTCCTTCTGCACAGAGGAAGGGTCTGGGAACTCTCCTAGTCAAATAACCCCACCCCCTGGGAATTCTAACCGAGCCAATCAGCGCTGAGCAGGTTACGTCACACACCATAACGCTGAGTTTCTCATAAACATGGGGACTGAAGCGGAGTTCGCTGCGGCTCTTCCCTCTGTTCTAAATGACTTGGACACGTCTTTAAAGCAAGCAGAAGCACTCAAAGCCTTTCTTCTAAAGAAAGATGTGTGCGCTGTCGCCAGACGCCATTTTTGACTACAGCCAAAAAACTACAGCGTTGCGGACGTCACACAGTGACGCAGTTTCTCATAAACAACAAAGACAGCGGCGGAGTTCGCTGCGACTCTTTCCGCTGGTCTAAATGACTTGAATGTCTTCAAAACCACAACAAGTAGAAGCGCTAAAAGCCTTTCTTCTAAAAAATGGTGGAGGAGTTTCCTGGACTCTGACCCATGAGTTATCATCAAAGTTTCTTTCCAGGGACGTTTAGGTGCAATCTTAATTTATTTTTGAGTTTCTTTCCTTTGGCTGAGAGGCTAACCCACAAATGAGCGGTTACAGGATGTTTGGTTTGATGCAGAACTGATGAAACTCACCTCTTCTTCTTAAAACACACACACACACAAAGTTCTTTAGTACATATTATGTGTTTAGTGTTCTGTGATGTGATCCTAAACTGGGACACAAGATTAGATCAGTGATGCAGCTTTCGTCTGAAATACTAGCTCCTCATGATTCAGAGAAAAAGTTACACTCACTCTTGATTTCAGATGAGTTGTGGAGAGGTACTCTTCTGAAGTACTATTCAACTGAGGGTAAGCCTGGCTCTCTGCACACACTCCCATCACCATCACTCACACTCCCTTTGGGTTCACTCTCAGGATCTGTGTGTTCTCAGGTGTGCTGGAGTGGCCCTTCTGGACCAAGCTGATTGTGGTGGGCATTGGCTTCACAGGTGGCCTCGTCTTCATGTACATCCAGGGTAAAGTCTACTTGCAGCTGTGGCGCCGCCTAAAGGCCTTCAACCGCATCATCACTGTGCAAAACTGCCCAGAGAAAAACCTGCACAAGCCCCAGGCCAACGGGAAGCATGAGACCGTGGAAGTCCCTGTCCCTCAGATCTCCATCCCTGCTCCAGAGACACAAATGGACTCTGACATGTCTGTGGAGGCAGCCGTGGCACCAACACAGAGCCCCGTCTGACTTATTATGAATGTAGAATCTGCTTTTGCTCATGCATCCAGAGCCTTCTGCGATTACTCCTGTCAGATTCACGGAAACCGACGGGAGTAAAAGCTGATCCAAGAGCATAAAGCAGAAACTGTATAGATCAGAAAAGGGGACAGAAAATTAACCAGCAGCAAACTAAAGCTGTGACTAAATGGCATATTGATGCCATTTCATCTGTAAGCACTTTCTAAACTTGCACTGATACTAATTAAAATTGTGAAAACCCTGAAGATGCTTTGGGTTTAAGGTCTCAGTATGCTTCAAATGAACCTCACACAACAGGACTCTTTAAATCCAACTGCATTTGATTCAAATGGCTCACGGAGATGCACTTTAACTATAAATCTAATCATGTTTCAGTTTGTTTGCAAGTCATCACATCCATCTTTGTGTTTGTCTTCTCCCTTAATTCTTCCAATTTTCACTTTATTTTTTACAAGCTTGAACATATTTATCTGATGTGGGGTAAGACAGGTTGTTATCACACAGAAAGTATAGCCTGATGTTTATTTGTGAGGCTACAGAGATCACACGAGCACCTTGACTGAAGCATACCGAGGACTTAACACTCCTTCTGGACAACCAGACACCAAAGACTCACATTAAAAACCTCACAAACCAAATCCTTCATCCCAGTCTAGAATCTAAATATGTAATATTAGAAGAGGTAATGATGAAAAAGGTTTAGTTGGTAAATAGAACACCAGACAGCCTGTTTGTTGATAAATTGTAGTTTTATGTAGCTTTCATCTGGAGATTATCAGTAACTGATACATTATGACAACCAGAACTTTACGAATGTTTTTCTTTGTCCAATCTTGTGCAGGACTGTTTTGCAGCATGTTTGTTTTTTCAGCTCTGAATAGACACGATGCAGGTTACATGCATAATGGAATTGTTTGTGCAATAAATGAATGTAGAACCTCAAAAAGTCCAGTCTGAAGTTACTGACTTGTCAAATGGAAAAACTTGGTATGGGAACAATTTAGGTGTCGGACTTGGGGTTTAGCACCACCCGCAGGTCATCTGTGGAACAGAAGCATCTTCTCACACGATTTCTTCCCTTTACAAGCCTCCCCACTTCCACAGAGGCTTCCATATTAAAGCACAAACAAGTGTTAGTGATCAGTCTCATCCATCAGCTCATCATCCAAATCATCTTCCTCAGGAACTTCCTCTGGATCTTCTTTTTCCTCCATTTCATTTCTTGTGTCCACATTTTTCTTTGATACTTTTCGTAGTTTTATGTTTGGAAGTTTCTTCAGATCTCCGGTCCATTCTCTGCCAAAAGAAAAATAAAGTTTAAATATTCCATGATTAACATTACAGAATTACTGCATATTTATGCCTTCACTGAAGATGATCTCACTATTTCACTCCATGAGTGATTTGAATTGAAAATGTACCTGATGCATTTCCTGGGTGAGCAGGTGTTCGTTAAATGCAGATAGCGCAAACACTCACCTGAATGTTTTCAGATGCTTTGTATTGATGATGTCTGGAATCTCTGGGGGGGGGTAAAGGAGTTTTTCAGACCAAAGTGAACACATGAGTGAAGCATTTTTGCATTGAAACAAACCAAATCCGACGCCTTCGTACTGCGCCTGTTCTCGCTCCACGGTCTGTTTGATGACAGCCTCTCTGGCGCCATGAAGACGACCCTGCCGACCTTTGATCCCATTCATCAACTTGATCTGTTCCAGTTCTGAATCAAATCTGTGAAGGTACCTGAACAAACACCAAGATCTTATAATCTCATTGAAATCAGTACAACTCGTTTATGAAGACAAACAGCCTGATGAGATTACTACCAACCACACAGACAACATTTGGGTCACGACGGTGAACTTTTTAAATGTGTTTTATGGTCAATATGCATCATACTGAGGTCAGTAATGTACAACCTAGGTTATTTTTGCACATCTAAATGTTTACATTCAATTCTGCATCTTTCTCATGAAACATTTGAGGCCATCTGTAATTTTTTTTATTCTATTTTGCATTAACTTGTGATTACTAAAATAGCATCATACTGAGGTCAGTAATGTACCACCTAGGTTATTTTTGCACATCTAAATGTTTACATTCAATTCTGCATCTTTCTCATGAAACATTTGAGGCCATCTGTAATTTTTTTTATTCTATTTTGCATTAACTTGTGATTACTTTAATAGCCATTCAGTCTTTTGACAAAGAGGTTGTGTTAAACCACATCATTTTACACAGTAGTTTTCTTTATGTGATTACCTCTGGAGGAAGACGATGATGCATTTCTGGAGTTTTACGGCCTTAATTGTCACTGAATTGTCAGTGTTTTGATCACAGACACCCTGATCAAATCAAATTAAAGGCTCAGCCCTTTGAAAAGTGTTGGCATGGAGTCTTTGGGCAAATCAAGTTAAAAATATTAACAATAAGAGCAAAACAAGTAGAAAAGAAAATGTTTGGGACCTTTCAATAATCTCACAGGCATCTTTCCGGGAATAATTTGTCTTCGCTGAATCCAGCTGACTCTGAAACCACAGCAGCTTCTCACCTGTAATTTAACACCCAGATACAAGATGAATGAGTTTAATCATCTTTAAATGTTTGTATTAGTTCGACTCAAACACTTGTTTACCAATGTTGTTCAGACGCGCTGCTTTCTCGTTTTTCTGCCTGCAGCATCACAAAAGACATTTAGAACATTTCCATCCGGGAATTTTACTTTTTCAAGCCACTTCGAAATAAAACTGAGCAAAGAAATAATTTGTTGCCCTAGACGTCATATCTTGTAATAAATCACAATCCAAATACTACAGAGTTTCTGCTTTTGATGCGTTTTATTTAATTAATTAACAAACCTTTCTTTCCTTTTCAGTCGGTTTTCTTCCCGGGCAAGGTAAGCTGCTTTCCTGCTGTACGGATGAACAACTTTCTCCGCCGCTTTCCCCTTCTGGGTCTTCGGCTGCAAAATAAAAACTAGTTTAAATATTTTATTTTGATTCTATTAACCTTTAACTCATATTTCTGTTGTTATAAACACAAACGAGCTCATGGAAACAGCCTCACCATCGTTTCAGAGTGAAAACGTGTGTTGAAGCTCTGTTGACACTGAGCACCGGAAACGGAAGTGGTCCGTCGTTGAATTGTGTCGTTAAGGAAACGTTCCGGATGTACACTTGTAATTGGACGGCTGCAAAACTTTCGTCACAATCAGATTTTTAAAAAATGAAGAAAAAAAGTTTTTTTATTGTTACTAGACTTTTGCAATTTCTTAAATGTTTTGACTCTAAAATTTGTTTCATATAAATGAAATAGGATTAAAATAAAAAATATTTTGCTGTAAGTACAACAAAGTTGCAAACTGATAGACAATTTTTTTGATCAAAAGAAATTTTAAAATGAAAAACAGTGTTGTTTTGTGGTGTAAATAGAGCAAATCACTTGCATTTGAGCAAATAAATATATCTGTTTTGAGTGTGCTTGGTGCACACACAAAAGTATTTTTACATATTAATTTCGACAAATATTAACATCAATCCAGTCAACTTGTCAGTGTGAGGAGAGCAGTCACACTCCTCCTGCACCTCAGACTTCAGTCAGCTCTTTTATAGATTATGTAAAACAATAAGCAGAAAAAAATGTTTTTGTTCCTAAAAGGAACATGTGCAGAACTAGTTATTTCACACTGTTAATGGCTGAAAATCAGTCACTGACAGCATTTAAACTCAGTACAACTTTATTCATTTGGGGCCAATTTGTCACAAAAGTCACTTAAAACTGATATTTCAATGTAAGTTTGTTGCTGTTTATTAAAAGTTGTACAAATAAAAGAGCCAACATACTGCATCAGTTATCAATCTGAGCCAGACAACAGTAGGGAAAAACTAACAGGGAGGTGGATGGGTGGATGGTCAAAGGATAGGACTGAAGCACAGAAGTGCATCCTGGGATGTCCTGGGGCACAAGCTCACCTGAGTTAACAAAAAGGGAAGTTTCAAAGGCAAAAAGCAGAACCAACCCCCCCCCCCCCACACACACACACACACACACACACCTTTAAAACGTTCCTCTGCAATACAATAGATGGTTCAAGTAAATATAAGTAAAACAACCCTTAACAGGGTTTCCTGTGCTGGCTCAGCTCACGGCTGTCGCATCTCTAAGACATAATCAGAAAAAGGCAACGAGGAGATGGTTTATGGATTCACTAGTATAACAATTGTGACTCTTCAGCAAATAAAGTCCCTGTTTTTGTAAGAGAGTCATACATAAATTACTTACTTGCTAACAGTAGTCATGGGTTGGTGGTACATCCTCCAGGACAGCACCGCCGACTGCCTCCATAACATAAAAACAAAAAACATTTCTTTGTCTCTCATTGTCTACAGATGATCCAGTAAAATTTAAGAGTACTGGATTAATTATATTCTTGACAGACATGTGGTCCTATCCAACATGCAGATCCACTCTCAATATTACTTGCAAAGAGTAAAAGATGCACAGACAGATTTTTCATGAGCAAAGTTTTTTATGCATATAATAAAGTGAACATGGTAGAAAGTGAAGCTATTTATAAACACACTATTACACTATAAACAATGTACAATACAAACACCACTAACTGCAATCTTTAAAATGACTCATTTGCTGCTCTCATCATGCCAATCACTGTAGCAGTCTCGACTTGGAATAAAGCATAGGGGCACGTCACAAGTAGCACACTTTATAGGAGTCTTGGCCTGGCAAAGTCTGCATCTCAAGCGCCCCAATGTGCTGTGTCCCGATATGTGCACAGGTCTGTGATGACAGGAAAGAGATGGTGCCGGCTCAGCTGTGGTGTTGGCAGAGCCCACCTTTGCCAACTCGACCACTAAAGTCTCCCTGAATGCCTTCTGGTTCAAGGGAACATCCCCTCTGCTCCTGGCAAGTTCTTTATGCAGGATGAAGGCATTAATGATGGCAACATCCATGAAGAGATAGAAGAAAGTCTTGTACCAAGTCTGTGTTCTGTGCTGGACCTTGAAGTAACCTAGCAGTGCATCTGATAGATCGACTCCCCCCATGTACCTAAAAGGAAAGTTGAAAAAAAGTGAAAACCACACGAAAATATGTCCGACACACAAATTGTTCAACTTGAAACGGCACTAATGGCTTGTGTATATGACGCTGACCGGTTGTACTCCTTCATTGCTGGTGGAACAGGGATGTCCTTCCAGGTCCACTGTCCATCTGCACCTTTGACCCTCCGCTGGACTGTGTCCTCTCCGTGGGCTGTGTGCAGAGTGGAACAAAGAAAAACATCTCTGGTGTCTTTCCACTGGACAAACAGGATGGAGTCTTTCCTCAGCCACCTGATGGCTCCTCGTGGCAATTGGGAGTCCAGATTGTCATTCCTGTAGGCTTTGATGGTTCCACATGCCCAGACCTCTTGTTGAAGCAGGTCACGGAAAAGCAAGGGACTTGTGTAAAAACGGTCCACAAACAGTTTATAACCAGCACCCAGCAGATTGGTGTTGACCAGATGCACAACAGAGTCATAACCAATCCCTTTCCCACTGTTTTTGTGTGACTTTCCCTCATACACAAAAAAATCCCACATATAGCCACTAGAAGAGTCCGCGAGGACAAACAGCTTGTAGCCCCAGCGTTTGTTCTTCATGTACTGATTCAGGCCGATGCGAGATTTTGATTCAACCATACCCTCATCGACAGAAATGTTTTGCATGGGATGATAGTTCTTTTTGCATGCGTCCCTCAGCTCAGTATACAAAGGTTTGATTTTGCACAAGTGATCATACGCTGGTGTCCCCTTCTTCTGATCATTAACAGCATCTTCTGCCATACTGCTAAGGCACAGGGCTCGGCATATCAGGTGGAACCTTCTACAGGTCATCACTGACTTGGCAAAGGGAAGTCCGTACAGTTTTGCCCTTTTCCAGTAATCTGCAATTGAGGAGCACTTCACAAATCCCATAAATATGACCAAAGCCATGAAACTGAGCATCTCTGGTACAGACAAATAAGTCCATGGGACATCTGTTGTTGACATGTGTTTGGCAGCAAACTGGTTAGTGTTCTGAATTATTGTCAGTAGAACAGAATTTGTGAAATAAAGCTGAAAAAGCTGCAGTGGTCTGTAGGATGTGGAACTAAGCTGGGGTCCGGGTGGGCGCAGGGGTCTGAAGGTGGGCTGTGGGGGGGTAATGTCCTCAACCTGTGTATCGTTCCAGTACTTTTCTGTCATTCCATAAATGCTGCTCATGCTGGCTCTTGCCCATCCCCCTCTTCTACCTTGTCCATGTCCTGTTGCTCTTTTGTTTGTGTCTCTCACACATGAGGTGATGGGATCGGGATGGAGTCCTCCCTCTGAGGACTCTCTTTGTTCAGAGACACAGTCCTCATCTGAATCATCAGAAGAACTGTAATGTAAAAAAAGGTAATTAAATGTTAACATTCAAGGTAGACTGAGCTGTGTTGACATAAAAATACGTTTGGTAAACTTTTAATTTGTTCATTATCTATCTATCATCCATCTATCTATCTATCTATCTATCTATCTATCTATCTATCTATCTATCTATCTATCTATCTATCTATCTATCTATCTATCTATCTATCCATCTATCTATCTATCTATCTATCTATCTATCTATCTATCTATCTATCTATCTACTTACAGGAGAAACGAGAATAAAATAAGTTAGTCTGCTTACTTGTCCAGATCGGTTTGTCCCCCTTCAGAAGTCATGTCCCCTCCAGAGTAAACATGTGAGGCATCACTGTCCTCCTCTGACAAAAAATCCTCAGAATAATCACTCTCTCTTCTGGAACATTTCTCAGCGACTTCCTCTTCGATGGGGTTTGCTTTAGAGGTGCGTTTTGCCATTTTGTCTTAATGATCTAGTGCGTTACTGTGTTTATTCTGAATTATCCAAACAGAGTCCAAGTGGAACCACACGTGCAGAAGCTCTGTTTGCTTGTAAACTCCACCCTTCAGCCCGTTGTTCTCGGAATTTCATTGGCTATTTGATGTGTCGATCGAGTGCCTAACACCCATTTACTTCCGGACCATAGGACGCCGAAATCGCAGTAATTTGAATGCCCGCGTGATCCAATAATACCCAGCTGCAGACCCTCTCCAAACACGCCCCCATGTGCCTGTTGAGCTTCCCCCCCCCCCCCCCCCCCCCCCCCAGCGGCCCTCCCAGCGGGCGGGAGCATCCCGCTGTCAGCTCCAGCAGCTCCACACAATTGAAAGAATACATTTATACAGAAATAGTAATTAAACAGACAGGACTCCAGGTTTAAATGTGAATGTATGGATTTTTTTTCTTGCATAAACATTTAACTTTCAACCATTTGTTTTTACAGGCACTAACAGTGGGTCTAAGTTCATATGAGTGAGTAGTTAATATTTATGTTACTATTTATGATTTTTTTTATTGCTTCTTTACAGTGAAAAGCTGCTGATGTGTAATTTTTAGGCATATTTACATGTGTATATATGTATTTCATATATTCTGTTAACAGGAATAATTGCTGGCCCTTTGACACAAAATATATTGATTTAGAAATTACTAAAATATTTTGCATTAAGTATACAATTAACAAAACTAGTAAACTGATATTGACCATACACTAATCTGTAAAGAATATACTGTAAACACAAAAGCAGAAACGTTTGGCTTTAGAAAAAAAGTTCAGACAAATGAAACAACCAGCAACATCTTTTATTGGCCTTACAAATACCTTCCAAAAATAATAATAATAATAAATGTCCACACAATGAGATGAGTCCAGAGCTTTTCTGAATTTCTCCGAGTATATGAGCAGTTCCATGGCATTAGGACATCAGCTGCCTCTCACTGATGAGACAAAGATAAATAGCAATTAGTAAAAATGACATTTACACCTAGAGGCTGTCATAAACAATGTGAAAACAATACATGTAGGCTTTAGCACTGTTCTTGTGTTGGTAGAATACCTCCGGGCTACCACATTGCCGTCGTGAGTTTGCTGCTTATTAGATGAGGAGTCATAAATGGTCAAATAAATAGCCTGTTGTTACGTTTATTTTGGCCAAAAGGCTTGCATGTAACCCATTAAAAATTATATAAAAAATATTTTGCGTCCATGACGTCTTCCCCCACTGCCAATAATGCTTAATTTTATATAAAGTGTTTCAGAAAAAAATTACGAATGCGCTATCTATCAAACTATGTCTTCAACGTTTAAATTTCTAGTACAAAATCTTCGCAAGTTTGATAATTAATTTGATAAATTAATATAGAGGGCGATAATAAACCCTCAGTCACAGACCAGCCACTTAACTAAAACCTTGTCTGTTATGCCTTTAGCTGAGCTATAAATAATTATGAACGTTGCTATGGTTAGTTTTAAACACTAACAATTACATTTTGATGCTTTTTCTTCAATGAACGATCCCAGCTTCTGTTAATGTTGACACATGAACTCTGACCTTAGCCATAACCAAGTGAACATGGACCCATGTGTTGCCTACTTCATTCAAGTAACGTCTAAATTAACTTATTTTTTATGATAACTTGTATAGATGAGGGTCTAATGGTGGTTTAGACATGTGTAATCATTTGTGTGGAAGTTTAGTGCAACTTACTTTAAATTTAATATTTCAGCCAAAAACCATCTTCAGGTTAAAAACTGCTCCACATTCATGTAGAATACTCTGTGGCTGATAGCTAAGCTGAAAAACGTGATGTCGTCAGCAAATTACTACGTGGCTGCACCGCACTGGTCTCCAGGTGAGGCAGCCGCACCTCCACCTGGCTCAGCCACTCACCTGCCAATTTGACACATTAGCGCTCTGAGCTGCTCGCCTCCTTGAAAAAAACACCCTGCTCCCCTTTTCATCTAATGATCGTGGTTAGCAGGAAATCCTCCATAATGCTGCTTGTGTGAGTGTGTGCGTTCGTGCACGCCCTCGTTAACAGCTCGTTTTTAGACTAGAAACTCCGACAGCACACGCGGCGGGGTAGAGGGGGGTGCGGTCCATCACTGCCTCAGTGCCGCTGTCTCGGTCCACCAGTCGACGCCTCTTTCAGAAGCGTTTTCCTAACAGGAAGTGTGCATGAAATATGTAACCATGGGTAGTTTACATCTTACTTATGGACCATAAAATTTGAGATTCCATAGAAATATGAAATATCAACCTGATGGATCTTTGAATATTTTAACCAGAAGATCAGGACTTTTTATTGCAGGAATTACTTGACACTTTGTATTAACTCTGAGGAAAGAGAGAGAGTCAGGTTTATAATAGTTAAGAAATTTATTTCTATACAATTTAAAGAAGACTAACTTTAAACACTCTGTGTACTGATGGACTAAGGTGGAGTGAGACGTGAGATGATGGTGTGTGTGGAATGTTGTTATCAGAACCAGCAGATCCGGAGAAGCATTTAATTCTGAGTGGGAGTGAATGTTTCGCTCTAAACTTTAGTTGGAGATTTATAACGCACGAGACGCCGTCTGTCGGTCTACGTACCCACTTGCGTACGTAGTGGAGGGTAAGCCTCCGTTAGATCCAGAATGCCGAGGTCCTCTTGGACCCTCCTTGGAACCGAAGCCGGTAGAAAAGCAGCGGTGCCAACCAAACTTGGAATGCTTCCAGGTCACGACAGGTTTAAGGGGTCGTGAGGTTCAGCTTTTATTCTGAAGGAACCGTTGCGGTCAGGTGTAACTTGCAACAGATGTTATCCAGCTTGTCAAGGTTCTTTTGGCTGAAGAGGAAGTCCGGATGGCCGGTCTGAGACTTCTCTAGAACGCTTGAACTAAAGAAAAGGTGGCGTGGGAGAGTTTTTATAATTGTCATATTTTGGTTTACTGGCAAATCAGAATTTGACATGCAGAAGAGGGTTTATACAAACACCACAGAAAAACCATGCCTCGTGTCAGAAACGAAGGTTTTGATTGGATCAGACAAAAGGAAATGTGTCGTGTGACTTTAGCATTATGTGTCATCAGTGTCTAGTGCAAATGTCCAGGATTATAATTACTTGTAAAATACTACTGATCACCGGATTATAATATCAAGTAATAACATTGTCATTTTACAGATTGATTGAACATTGAAAATTATTATTGGTAATAACAAAGTTGTTGATTATGTGTTTATCAAAAGAGTTCTTCGTCTTCGCTGTAACAGAGGTGAAGCAGTTCAGATGAGCAGAGTGCATGAAAGACCTTGGCCAGTATCTCATGTAGATTAGGGCTGTGTCAGAGACTTAATGTCTCTGCTCGAGCAGATGCAGCAGATTTAGCAGACCTGTAGGTCAAAACAGGACATTCATGATGCTACAAATACATCTCCACCCATTCCTTGACCCTCACTTTAATCCTGGCTGCTGAAATTGACCTGACATATCCAAGGTTAGTCACAGCTATTTTATCATTCACAAAGGAGAGAGGGTCAGTTACTTTTCACAATTTGTGACAGGTATAAAATATTTAGGTTGGAGAAGAACAGAACAGATCTGTTATGGGGTAAATACTTTTTCACAGGGGAGGGGTGATTGTGCTGTGACAGTGTTTTTGTTCAAAACCTAGATTCTGTAGATTTATTTAAATATAAAGTGTAATATCATCTCACAACATAAGATAATGTACATCACTGTTTAACCATGACCTTAACATCAGAAACCTTTAAGTAGGTTTTCTGTATTTATTCAGGCTTGGGGCGACGGTGGCTCGCCTCGTAATCGGAAGGTTGCAGGTTTGATCCCCGCTCATTCTGTTGCTGTCTTTGATTCCTTGGGCAAGACACTTAACCCACCTTGCCTGCTGGTGGTGTTCAGAGGGACCGGTGGTGCCTGTGTGCGGCAGACTGTCCTCTGTCAGTGTGCCCCAGGGCGGCTGTGGCTACAATGTAGCTCATCATCACCAGGGTGTGAATGTGTGTGTGAATGGGTGAATGACTGATTGTGTTGTAAAGAGCCTCGGGGGTTCCAGGACTCTAGAAGGCGCTATGCCAAATACAGGCCATTCACCAGGCATGCATTGCTCAACTGTTGTGTCACCGGCTCTCGTAGGAAGTGCTGACTAATTTGGTTTACAATGCCAACCTTTGTTGAGCTGATAAGAGACACGGTTGGTAGATAAAAACGGCTGCGGCTGCATCTACAAACACTCATCATTTCTCAGGCCCCTTGATGAAAAAGGAAAACACTGTGAGACTTTTTGAATGTGGGCCATCAGCACAGAGATAATCGCAGCGGCGTGACTCGGTTCGTGACTTTGAATCAAGGAGGACACAGAGACTTCTTCTAAGAAACAGCATATCAAAAAGAGAAAACACCTGACTGCTCGAAACCCACATTTTCTCAGCTTCTCTCTCTCTGTTGGGCTGCTTACCTGACTGCCAGGAATGTGACTGATCTGCTGCTGAGGAGCCATCTGACTTGTGGCTACAAGCACACAGCTGGTTGCATCACATCCGACTGACTGTTGGAGTGACTCCGTGTGTGTGTGTGTGTGTGTGTGTGTGTGGCCCTGTAGATCAGGAAGTGTGATGCTGTGACAGTACATAAGGAAGCAGGCTCACAATGGCACCATGTGGACCTCTTTGCTTGCTACCATGAGAAGCCCCTGGCTGAAGACCCCTCAGATGTTGGTGGTGCTGGTTCTGGTTCTGAGCGGTCTGACGGGGAAAGGTAGGACAGGAAACATTCTTTTACTCTCTGAAGGAAGAGAAAACACTTTTCCTTTTCCCAGTCCCCTACCTGCTTTTCTCTTTCAGCTTTGATGAGTTCATTTAATTTGGTTGAAAAATAAGATTTAGCGACCTTTTGATGCTTTTGAGTTGAATTAAGGAACTCCAGGCGGATCGGAGCGGATCCTTTTACAGACACAAGACCCAACATGTTAAAGGCTGATTTTTAATTTCCTTCTGCTTGAGGTTAAGCAAGAAACGTCTTCAATGGATTCTGGTTTTCAGTTTCATGGCGACAATCTTTTCTCTCTGAAAAGTCACCAGGCAGTTTGGAATAAACACACATCTCAAAGAAAAAAACATTTCAGAAAACCGGTTGCTCAACATCTCCACCGGCTCCCTTCTTTCCTAATTATGAATTTGGCAACAGTGTTGATTTTTGTTGCAACTCCTCGTTTGAACGGAAGTATAAAGTTCCCGTGTGTGTTTTATACAGGCGAAAACACGCAGCATCAAAAGCTTTAACTAATGCATCTTTTGCTGTGTTCAGATTAATGCTCTGTGATACACACATATGTTTATTTATTTATTTTTTGCTTTTTGTCCATGTAATAATATAAATGAAAGTAATGAGAGATGTTGTCTTTTAGCATTTTGCATCAAGAAAGAAGACATTAGACCCTCAGACCTCCCATATAACAGAACAACCCCAAAACAAAGTGGTGTTAACAGCAAATTTCAAGGTAAAACCACAACAGTCACTGATGTCATGTTCATGTTTTTTATATTTGTTGTCTATGCTTATTAATTCCAGAGGCACATGGTGATTGCAGAAAGACATTTGGAGATTAAAAATTTGCACAAAATAATTTTGTGCAATAATGAAATGGAAAAACAGCTAGTCGTGTTTATTAGATGAATTAATTTTAAATTTCAAATTAATTACATAAAAAGCATCCTGATTTTTATTTATTTGAAAAACAAAAAGCAGGATGTTCAGGTATCAATTTAAGTACCATACCGTTTTATTTTTATAGCACAGTTTAAACACAGCATGTGAGCTAACCCTAGTGTTGCACAGGCAACAATCATAAAGGAATGATTTAAAACAGTTACAGTTAAAAAGAGTCAATGAATATAGATAACAGCAACCTAAAAGCAATAAAAAAAACATAAAAAAAGAGTTATAAAAAATAATTAGGTACCATGGTAAGGAGATGATGATGATGAAGATGATAATAATAACAATAATAATAATAATAATAATAGTATTATTATTATTATTTAATAATACTAATCATCATCATCATCATCATCATCATCATCATCATCATCTTTTTGGCCTGGATGAGTTCTGATATAAATTATTGATTTACATTTACTGATCACATCTTTAAACAAAAACACACATAGCATGGATCATATGACTGAAACTGCCTTGGAAAGAACAAATGATGCAGCTTTACAGCTGAAAACCTGAACAATTTGGTTTCAGATGATAAGTTCAGCATTCATTCTTTTTTGCTGTTTAAACGAACAAAACACATTTCTGTCAGTAGATGCAGTCAGCAATTGGACAACAGGAACCCCCACCAAAGCTCCTGACACTTTGGATTTGGGTAATTTCATAGATGGTTCCATTTTGAACAAAAACAAGTAATGTTGCAGTTTAAACTGATGTTTTTGTTGTATTCATCAGAAGCTGAAGTAATCTCAGGAGATGTGGAATCAGATCCAACGGACCGTAAGTTGTTGGAGAAACACTTTTGTGTTGGTTTTTTTAATTTTAATGGTACATTTCAGATGTATTTCATCACCTATATAACCATATTAGTCATTATTTTATCTAAAAATGGAAGCTATTACTCAGAGGTGAAACATTTCCAGACTGCTTATCTTTTATCTGCTGTTCAACAGTTGAACCTGTGAATTCAACGACCCCATCAGAGGAGGAGGACTGGACTCTGGATCCCCTCATTATCCTGATTCCGGTGGTTCTGGCTGTTGTCATCATCAGTGTGATAGTTTGTGGTATTTACATCAACCGCAGGTGCAACCAAAATGAAGCAAAACAAGGTAGGACAGTCACTAAAGAGGGGATGTAGTCAACAATTCTTTAAATAAAAAACAGTTTTGCCCACATGAGAGTTTGTTCCCCACTCAATATAAATAATTATACTATTGAAATGAAAATGACCTATTCAAAATGTCTTCATTCTTGTTTAGAAACACAAACAAAAAGCAAAAATAAAAAAAACTGTTCAAATGTCCATCCATCCATCCATCCATTTACTTCCGCTTATCCGGAGTTGGGTCGCGGGGGCAGCAGCCTAAGACGAGAGGCCCAGACTTCCCTCTCCCCAGCCACTTGGGCCAGCTCTTCTGGGGGAATCCCAAGGCGTTCCCTGGCCAGGTGAGAGACATAGTCCCTCCACCGTGTCCTGGGTCTACCTTTAGGTCTCCTCCCGGTTGGACGTGCCCGGAACACTTTACCAGGGAGGTGTCCAGGAGGCATCCTGACCAGATGCCTGAGCCACCTCAACTGGCTCCTCTCGATGTGGAGGAGCAGCGAATCTACTACGAGCCCCTCCCAGATGACCAAGCTTCTCACCCTATCTCTAAGGGAGAGCCCAGCCACCCTGTGGAGAAAGCTCATTTTGGCTACTTGTACCCGCAATCTCTTTCTTTCGGTCGCTTCCCAAAGCTCGTGAGGGTATATTTATGTCGATGGTAGGAACGTACATCGGCCGGTAAATCGAGAGCTTTGCCTTCTGGCTCAGCTCTTTCTTCACCATGACAGACTGGTACAACGCCCGCATCACTGCAGATGCAGCACCAATCCGCCTATACAGTTCAAATATTCAATTTAATACAAATTTGAGAATGAGACCACAGATGCAAGTGGCCAAAATGATTTTTCTCCCCAGGGTGGCTGGGCTCTCCCTTAGAGATAGGGCGAGAAGCTTCGTCATCCGGGAGGGGCTCGGAGTAGACCCGCTGCTTCTCCACACCGAGTTGAGGTGGCTCGGGCATCTGGTTAGGATGTCTCCTGGACGCCCCCCTGGTGAGGGTTTTTTTTTTTTGGGCACGTCCAACTAGGAGGAGACCCTAGGGAACGCCCAGGACACGCTGGAGGGACTATGTCTCTAAGCTAGACAGGAACGTCTTAGGATTCCCCCAGAGGAGCTGGCCCTAGTGGCTGGGGAAAGGGAAGTCTGGGCCTCCCTGCTTAGACTGCTGCCCCCTCGACCCGATAATGGATGGATGGATTGGGACAACACAGCAAAAGAAAAATGTGTTAAAGGGCCCCATAATTTGAATATGTCGACTAAAATAATTAGAAACAGGAAGCTAACTCTGTGTTTAAAACATCTTAGTCAAAAGTATTCATTAAGAAATATTTTATTTTAACTGAAAACAAAAACTGTGTCAATATTAAAAAAAATTAAAATGTACAGAAATCCAATTGTAATCAGGTTGCTGACAGTTTGAATGGCTGTACTCATGTAAAGTCAGCCACTGCGTTCATGGATAAAAACCATCATACAGACTCCCACTATAAATCAAGTTTATATGGTTTTAGAGGAACATTTATTACAATCCAGGTGTTTGATTTAGTTGTTTCTTCAATCAGCTACTTCCAAGCACGTCTAACCCGCTTCGGTAATAAACTGGCACGTTGAAGCTTGTTTGTGTTTCTCTTTTATAGAAGGGACCGTGAAATTATGAAACGGAATGATGTTTTGATTTCTTTTAGAGTTGAGCAAAGCAGACCCGTATCTGGAAGCATCCAGCACAGAGAAAGTACCCATGTGAGTTTAAATTGAGTTACTGATGTCAAATACAATGTCCCCATCATTAACCAAACTGTTTACCACCTCTCTGTCATTTCCTGGTCCACCCAGCCTGCGTGCACAATGTCAAACCTTCCTGCAACGTCTCTGCCCTTTGGACAAAAATCCATAAGTGACATTTCTGATTTCCTTGCAGGCCGATGTTTGAGGAAGATGTTCCCTCTGTACTGGAGCTGGAGATGGATGAACTGGACCAGTGGATCAAAAAAGACAGTAAGTTTGTCTAAAACAAATAAACAAATAAATTAATAATAGACGGACTGAAACAATCCAGAAAAAGGCACACCATTTTGAGAAAAGCTGACAATCTGTGAGAAATGCATATTTACTCACAAATGTATCAGAAACGTAAAGGATATTATTCTGTTTCTTAATTATTGATTAAACTGCACGTTTACACTAAATAAACAACAACTTTTGTTTAAAATTTTTTAATTTTTTTGGTGAACTTGCTGCAGTGTGAGTTTGTCCAGTAGAGGTCGCTGTTGCTCTGTAAAACCTGCTGCTAAAGTCCTTGACCTCTAATTTATTACTCATCTTCACTTCATCAGTCATAGAAATCACGGTGGGGGGGTTCGACTACAAACAGAAATAAAGCTGTGGTGAAACCCTGAGTAATCGCTTTACACCGGGCATCACGTTGGGGCAGCAGCAGCTCAGGATGTAGAGCACGTAGCCCAGGAACTGGAGGGTTGTAGGATCAATCCCAGCCCCTGGCAGAGAATGCTGCTGTTGTGTCCTTGGGCAAGACACCTAACCACATTGTTCGGAGAGACCGGTGGTGCCAGTGTTAGGTAGCTATTGTAGCTCATCATCACCATTGTGTAAGTGTATGTGTGTGAGTGGGCGAATGAAAGATTGTATTGTGAAGCACCTTGGGGGGTTGTAGGTGATAACTTCAAAGGATCAAAATGGTAAAAACTAAACACGCCCATTTAAAGTGACAGTGTGTATTTTTCCTAGCGATAGGGGGCAGTAGATTCTTAGATCATTGCAAGCAAGCAGTATTTTTGTGTTGGAGTAAGACCTTACCAACGGATGCTCATTAGGGTCAAAAAGCCCTGGGGAGTGCAAACTTTAGCAAAATAACAAGAGTCACGTGAAGAGGTAAATGTGTAAAACAACAACATTTAAGAATGACAAAAGTTTTGTAACCATTTGTTACAAATTAGTGAATGCATTTTGTCCTCATGGGCTCCTGTAGAAGGAAACATGGTGTTTATTATGGTGTCGTCCAGAGACTTGGACACTCTCCCATGTATTTTAGACCTGATTTTTATGGTTATATGTTATGAAGCCACCAATATTTTTCAACAACTGGGCATCATTTCATTCATTCTCAACAACCTTTTGATGGATATTTCCAGAAATGAATGGTAAAAACTACACATTGTCTCTTTACTAAAGGGAACATGCTGTCTTTGTTCTCGCTAAGAGACAACATGCAGCACAATCACGCTGAACCTAACAGAGATGATGACTTGTTTCCGCCAGCCTCTGTTTGTTGTGATGAGCTGTGACTGATAAACTGTGGACCTTGTCGTCACCACACATGACACTGTCTGAAGCTCCAACTCTCACAACATCTGTTACTGATTACGACAGGCATGCATGGAAGTGTGGTGCAACTGAACCCTGGAATAGTCTCCTCTTACTGGAAAGGCTGGGAAGGCGAGGTCAAGGTCCGTTCTGGCGCTGACTGTTGACCAACCTTGTTTACAGACTGCTTTTTCTCAGGGTTTTTTATTTCCAACACTGAGAAAAGGTTAGATGTGGCTTATGTCCTGCAGGGAGGCACCTAGTACACACCGGGTTACATAAGAGATGTGAAAACAGAAGTAAACGTGTTGTCAGCGCTGCTGCGCTTGCTCAATGAGATGCCTTCTTCTGCAGCTGTTTGTCACACCTGTGAAATTCCTCAGGTAAAACCACCTCAGACTGAGCAGAGTAAGTAGATGCACTGTGGCTGACGCTGGTTTCACAGTAAATACCTCTTATTTCATGAAAAAGAAAGGGTTGGATGTACTTGTTTGGAAAATAAATAAGTGTTTATCCAGGTTTGCCCAACCTAGATCCTTGAGATCCCCTACCCAGCATATTTTAGACGTTTCCCTGTTTCAACACACCTGATTTGAATCAGTGGTGATTAGCAATGTTCTGCAGAGCCCGAGTAGCTGTTGAACAGGTGATTCAGCCACTTAATTAGCAGAGTGAGACATAAAACAAGCTGGAAAGGGAATCTTGAGGACCAGGGTTGGGCACACCTGGAGGAGAATTAGCCCAATATCTTCTGCAGAAATAGTCTTTCATGCACAACACCAAACATTTTTGGTCTGAAAAGCAGCAGCACCCCTGAAGGGTGGCTGGGGAATGGGGCATGGCCACCCCTGGAAAATTGTTGGCCACACCACTGGCCTCCCCAGGGAAGACTACCCCCAACCCCACAAATCACATTCCTGCTCCTATAAACCATAGTTTAATCTTTAATCAAGGTATAAATGTTAAAGCTGATAGATAAACTTATTTTTGTAAAATAAAAAAAGACAAAAATACGTTTCCAAAATGTTTGTTTCTCAAATTTGAGGTAAAGGTATTGAATGCATTGGTGTGTTGTTTCTTAATAAATCAGACTGAAGGAGCATTTAATACACAGCTACAGGCTAAAGTCTCCCAGAGTTTCCACAGGGACCAATTTGATGGTCCACGAGCTCAGGGTGCTCCCCACCTCTGGGACACCTGGCACCCTGAGCAGGCTGAACTTTGCATGGATATGAGCGAGAGTGAGAAAATGAACACCAATAATGTGTGACATTTGGTTTATTTTAAAATCAAGTGTCTAAAAACATGGCTTTTTTTTTTTACTTTCTTGGAAATCTGGTTTTGCAGTGAATAAATAAAAAAATGCATTTTTAAATAAAAGATTTCAGTCAAAACAAAGTTTGGAGATCTTAATCGTAACTATTTTTTATCTGTTTTTGCAAATGAACTCTTGGAGAGTTAAACATAATTTAAATAATTTTGATCTGGCAGATCCACCGTTAACCTCCACGTTTTCATGTTTTTGTTCTCTTGCAGGTTAAAAGATGCTCTGATTTCCACAGACACACGATGAACTCTTGGCAGAACCGATCTTTCCACCTTTCAGCATCACATAAACCCATGAGCTCACGGATACTGTCAGGAAATGACTAGGAACAGGAACAGGACAACGTGAAACGTCGATCATACCTTTACCGTGGTGCAACACCTCCAGACAGTCCCCAGTGGAGCAAAACACACAACAGCTGGACTGCTTCTACAAGACAAACTCACACAGAGATCCACATGGTTATTTATCCAGAGTGAAACGTATTTGTTCAAGACTTTTATTAGTATCCATATTTTAATAGACATAAAATTGTGTGTTGAAATGTAAAAATGTGACATTTAAATTCAACAAAACTCAACCCTGCAGCGACCAGATGTTCCTTATTTCCTGCATAAAAACTGTGTGGTCAGCTCAGAGTGTAATTGGGCAACAGTTCCCTCCGTGCCTCGCAGATGTCTGTTCACGGCTCCCCTGGTGGATCTTCCTCTGCTCAGGCACTTCTCCCTCCAGCTGCAGACTCTAATGAGGAAGACTAGCAGGCACGCATGACAAAGAGCAGCTGTGTTTTTTTTTGTTGTTGCCATTTTAGGATTTATACAATGTTTTTATTTTAAATCTGAACCTCTGAATTTACGAGCCTCTTGAAGATTTTGATAAATGATTGGTCTTCAGTGAAACGGCCTTCCTAAAGCTGCTCCTGATAAGATTATTATCTCACCACAGATACCAGAGCTGACCAAATTCTGGATATCCATTGATGCTTTCAGATATTTTGTTTCTGGTTTTACGGTCAGATTGTTGGATCTCAGCAAATGAACACAGAAACAGATGTGAGCTCTTCTTTCAGTCTCTGGCAGTATTGTGCATTATGTTGCATTGTACAGATTTCAGGACCAGAATTTTTTTATTGCCCTTTATCGTCTGTTGTAAATATTTAAATCAGTTGTGGTTTTAGCTGATGAAACTTAAAAATAAAATTTTGGAATGGAATCTATCCATCCATCCTTCCATCCATCCATCCATCCATCCATCCTTCCATCCATCCATCCATCCATCCATCCATCCATCCATCCTTCCATCCATCCATCCATCCATCCATCCATCCATCCATCCATCCATCCATCCATTATCTGTGCTGCTTTTTCCAGAGAGCTGGTGCCTGACTTCGCCTGTAATTGGGCTGAGTCTGGACATTTTTTCAACCATTACTTTTATCGGTTCTAGATAGCTCTTTGAACATCCTCAGTTTGGAAAAATACAGGTTAGTTCTGGTCAGATTGACAAGCTAACCGCTAGTCACAGCAGAGCCAAGACCACAATGTCATTGCAGTTTGTGAAAATGCTGCTTTTCTATGTGAATTTTACATTACAGGGTTTCATACATGGAATTCTGTGGTTATTTGCAGAAAAGGCTTTAAACTGTAGTTGGTTTAGAAAGGCACAAACTAACTAATAACCATCCCACTCCAACTAGTTTTTAGCATATCCATAAATGTCTGTTTCTTTAAACTGAGACCCTTCAAAGAGCTGTCTTCCATCAGGTAACATAGTTACTGTTCATGTGACGGGAGTTCAATAGGTCGGTTGATCGCAGCCAATAATATCGGCCGTGGTCGATATTACTGGCTAAGAAATCACATATTTACGAAGAAATCACAATGTAACCATAGAAACATTACTTGGTATATATGTTGTGTGCGTGTGCGTGTGTGCGTGTGCGTGTGCGTGTGCGTGTGCGTGTGCGTGTGCGTGTGTGTGTGTGTGTGTGTGTGTGTGTGTGTGTGTGTGTGTGTGTGTGTGTGTGTGTGCTCTGTCTTCTCGATCCCCAGTGAGTCGTGGAGGATGACTGCTTATACTGAGCCAGGATTCTCTGGAGGTTTCTTCCTGTTAAAAGGGAGTTTTCCTCTCCACTGTCGCTTTATGCTTGCTTAGTATGAGGATTGCTGTATAGTCACTGACACTAGTCAGTGACTTGATGCAATTTGCTGGGTTCCTTATATAGGAAACTTTTTTCTGATTGGCTTAATGAACTGTGAATTGGAATGTTTATTATGTGAAGTGCCTTGAGACGACTCTTGTTGTGATTTGGCGCTATATAAATAAACTTGAATTGAATTGGTCGCTCAACCAAAAGAAAAAAGCCAGAAAAATCTTGCCAGCTGGTGGCCAACAAGCTGCTGCATCAGCTCAAACACCTGCACACACCCTCCACTGTGCTCAAACACCTCCTGAAGACACAGAGAGCTATGAACTCATTTGAAAATCAGCTCACCAGGTGAAAAAGAGGTTTGATTAAACTTAATTGTTAGAGGTCTTAATTGTTTTGTTTAAATGAACTTGAATTAGATACAAACCAGTAATTTACTTTGACATCAAGTTAAAGTTTAGGTCCAGCACAGATTTATAAAATCCCACTAATTATCTGAACATCATAATCTTATCATGTTTATTTTAGCGTTTATCGCTAACGGTCACACACCTCACGTCATGGCGGTAAGTTCATTCTTTAGCTCAGACTATGACATCATTCTGACGTGGTGTATTTTTGTGTTCTTGATGTTTTAGCTCTTGGTGTGAATCCACTCAGTCTCAGCTCCGTCCCTCTTTCAGCTCTGAACAATATGTGAGAAGCTGATTACTTTCATACCAGAGGAGGGTCTGAGGGAGCAAGAACAGACAATCCAAACCAATGAATACAAATGAGAGAAGCGGCTCTGGCTGCATTTTCTCCTCCTTTTTCATTCTTTGTCCAGACAGCAGTTCTGTACAGACTGCACCAGTCAGCACTGACTTAACACTGAAATGTTGTTTATACATCAGAATAAAACATTTTAGGCAGCTTTATTTGTATAGCACATTTCACACACAGAAGCAATCCATCATGCTTTCCTGGAGCAAGAACAGCGAGAATACAACGTTACAACATAAAACAGCAGATTTTAAAATCGGATTTCAAATACACAAATAAAATTAGATGTAGGAGTATAATAAAGAGTTAAAATTAAAGGCTGAGCAGCTACAGTGCAAAATGTGCAGCATAAGAAATATTCATTTAAAATATATGAAAGCTGTGGCGATGATATTATCAGAAGACAGCTTTCACAAACTCTTCACTTCCCGTAGGCAAGTGTCCAGCGTGTGCCAGCTCGACTGACTCGTTTACATGCAGAGGAGATCTGGCTCCTACCGCGTTAACGTGTTCACATGCATTTTAAAAATCCAACGTCAGTCTATTTAAAGGTATAGCGGAGGATCTTTTTCTTCTCCGCATAATTGTCAATCATTCTGACGAACCGTTCACACAAGGTCGTCGTACGTGCTCGTTGCTCTGTAGTTTTCACTTCCTGCACATGTACAAAGCGAAGGTTGGCAACAAAGTCGACAACAAACTGTGTAGACTCAGCATGCCTTCCCTTTAAATTTGTTGAGTTGGGGGGGGGGGGGGGGTTGTCTTGGGACGCCAAATGCTTTGAAACGGCCCTGTCTGTGAGCAAAAATATGAACCGATGCTCATGATGATCCTTAAAACATCATATTTGTAGTGAATCATCTGGAGTTTCGTGTCTGCCCAACAGGAGCTGTTGCTGCCTGCCACACTTCATCAGCGTCACTTTGCAGCCTCGCCAGTGTTCCTGTTTGTTGTGATGTTACAGAGCAACGGCCTTCTGTCGCAATCCTCACATTCAGCCACGCTTGGCCAATGTTTGAGTGGGAAATGTTGAGTCCACCGGGGGAATCTGTGCATGTTTGTATTGTTACCTCATCTTAGTTTTGACTTGGAGGCTTGGTCCCTCGCACCATTTGGACGGCATCAGTCTGCATCGCTGCCGAGGACACAGGTGTTATGTCCTGTATTTGCATGGGAACCGTTAGAAAGAAAATCAGAACCAAATTAGTGAAAAGGGTGTTTTCAAGAAGTCTAAGCTTCTGTGTAGTATCACAACAAATGGGGAAATAATGCAGCTTTCAAAACTGATTGGGTTTGGTTCCCAAATGCATGTTGAGCTAAATATGCCATATGCTCACTTGTGAGGCAGGTTGTGGCTTGAGGGACTCAAGTTTCTTTGCAGCTTACCACGTTTCCATTAAGTAAAGGGTTGTAATGATTTGTGTTTGTTTCCACTGCATTTTAGTTCATTCACCAATGCCACAGAACAGCAGCAAGAGCAATCACATCTACAGACCTAGTTTGGACTTTTTAAATTGAGACATTGTTAAAGGAACAGTTTCCATAATTAGCTCCGATCCTAAGTCAGTGCTGGAAAAGCTCATTTGAGAGCATTTGGGAATAAAGTGAGAATGTTAACAGTCGTTCTTTGTTTCCAGGGTGTGTGTTTCATTTCTTTGAATGGATGCCAGTCTCAGTTGCACACTTCCCTTGATCACATGTATAGTGCTTGGTGATATCTCGAGGTTTCAGATTCTCCCTGGAGGATCCGTGTGCAGGGGGGAGGATGGAAATGACTACAAGCCATAGCTGGCACTGCAGCGCTAATTTGAGCAGCACTAATCCATGACAGATTAAAAACTAAACTATGAATAAATGAAGTTCAATATGCTGAAACAAATTGAGTCCATGTTTTCAGCATGCATTGATTTAGACGGATGGTGAAAATTTTGGTGAAGGTCCATCCCTTCTTTCTCCAAAATGCTTTTGAAATCTTATTTATTAATAATAATATTAATGATTTATAATTTTTATTTTATAATAAATAACAAAATAACAATCTGACAAATCCACAGTGGCTTTTCTAATTTTTATGATTTCTTTTCTGCATTTTAATTTATTTCTAACATTTTAAAAGCCCAATAACTTTAAAAACCAGAACTAAACAGGCAACCACTGAACATTTTACAGGGTGTTAAATATTACTGATCCATACGAAGTTTGAGGAAATAAAAATACCAGTTAGAGAAACAACTTTAAGAAAATCTCTTCAAGTTTAGTAAATTGATTCAAGATAAGTTATTGTCATACAAACGTTTTACTTTATACTTTATTGTTAAAGAGACATTGAAAATGCTTGTTTTTATTCAGCACCTTCCAGGGTTCTAAACCCCCCAAGGTGCTTTACAACCAACCCAACCCGTCATTAATCTATTCTTACACCTATAGTGGTGATCAACAGCTAACCTGGAGTGTACGGATAGAAGCGAGGCTGTCATACAACAGCGCCACCAACAGGTAAGGAGGGTGCCTTGCCCAAGGACACAGCTACTGCAACATACAGAGTGGGACTTGAACCTAAAACCCTCCAGTTATGAGGAGGTCACTTAGCTTCTCTGTCACCGTCAACATTACCTTCTCAGCTCTGTTGTGTAAATGGGAAGCCATTTCATCATATGATGGGATATGTAAAGGAAATATTCACTTAGTCCTTTATAGTTAAAATGAACATTTCAGTTCGTCAGAACATAATTTGTTTCATCAATAAATTATATTATGGAAACATTATTGAACTCCCAAAACATCTAAGAACCATCATTCATCCTTTCTGGAATAAACAGCATAGCTAATGGAATAGAATTTCATTTGAAAAAAAAATCTATTATTTCTATTTTCAAGTTTGATTTTTAGATCTACCAAAAAAACAAAACAAAAAACAAACAAACAAAGAAACAAAGAAAAAACAAACAAACAAAAACAAACAAACAAAACAAAAAACAAAGAAAAAACAACAAACAAAAACAAACAAACAAACAAAAACGAACAGCTGCATCACAAACATTACACCCAATAAAATATCAAGGGTAATATCCATTATTGATTTAATACAATATTTTAAAATCCATTAAATTAATGACAAACAACAAAGTAATTAATTTCTCTAAAAAACTCACCTGAACATTAGAAGTTGATGAGATATAATTTTAACAAACAACATAAAAAAGTTAATTGTTAATAGAGATAAAGTCCTTTATGATGTCCAAAACCTTCTTTTGGACAAGGAGAAACTAGATTATTTGTGCAGAATGTATTCTTTTTGTCA